CTTTCTTTCCCCTGGATCCCAAGAAAATCTCTCATGTTTTTTTCAATTTTCCTAAATACCTATTCGGGTATCCTAAACATTGACATGTAGTGCACTGGATAAAGAGAGGAAGATTGTGTGATAAAGGGAAGAAGAAAATGAAAGCTGTATTACTGTTCCTTTTCCACCTAGCTAATCCATTCTCAACTAGTTACAAAGATTGCGTGATAAAGAGAGGAAGAAAAAAAAAGAAAAGAAGAGGAGAAGAAGAAGAGCTTGTTGAGAGAAGGAGGTGTGTTACTGTTTACACTTGAAAGTTTGTATTTGAACATAATAAGGAAAATACAAAAATGCCCATAATTACAGTATGTTCAAAAAAAGACACACTTTCAAGGAAAACTATATTACGAGAGATTCTAAGACGATGAACCGAAGGATCATAGCAAAGGAAACCTTTATGTTCATAATTGTACCCCATAAAGGCACACAAAGTTGCTTGTGTAGTTAACTTTGTGTGTTCATGAGGTGGAAGGTGGACAAAACAAGCACAACCAAAAACCCTGAGTATGGATAGGTCTGGGGGTTTGTGAAAGAGAGATTGAAAAGGAGAAGAGTTATTCAGAACAGATGACGGAAAACGATTTATGAGATACACAGCAGTGCTGGCCGCCTCCAACCAAAACCAAGAGGGTACATGGGAATCCTATAGAAGTGTTCTGACTTATACTCAAGATATGCCCATTCTTCCTTTCTGCTATCCCGTTTTGTTGTGGGGTGCCTGGATAGGATTTTTGGGGTTGAATTCCATGTTGTTTTAAATAATTTTGGAAATCTCCATCAATATACTCTCCCCCTAAATCCAATCGTAGCAGACATATTCGAGCATCAAATTGGGTAGTAACATAGGTGTGAAAGTGTTTAAATACAATGTACACTTCAGATTTCTTTCGAAGAAAATAAGCCCAAGTGAAACAAGTGCAATCATCAATAAAGGTTACAAAGTACTTATATCCTAGTTGTGAGACAACTGGAGATGACTAGACATCACTATGTATTAAATAAAAAGGAACTGTTGCATGCTTAGAGTGAGAAGGAAAAGGTAAAATACGATTCTTACATAAACCACAAGTGATGCAATCTTTATTCACATTCTTAAAGGAAACAGTAGAAACAGGTAAACTACTAAAAGCAGATAACCGATCAAGTTTCTTAGAAAATGGATGGCCAAGGCGTTTATGCCATAAATGCCAATCATTATTACAATTAAAAGATTCAAAGCCAGAAGTAGTAGAAAGAAAACATGAAGTAGAAGCAGGTACTATCTTATTCTTCTCAAATTCCAAAGCAAATAGTCTTCCCAGTCTATCACCTCCCTAGTTTGCCGGTCCTGTATCAAACAACCATTAGAAGTGAATGAAACATTGTTACCTTCCTCTACAAGTTGGCCAACAAAAATCAAATTGGTGGTAAACTTAGATACAAATAAAGTTTTGGATAGATGAAACGGAGATGACTTAGAAGTAGATAAATACAAATCCTCACAACCAACAATGTCTAGTTTTTCATCGCTTGCAGTGATATAATGTTTATTGGGAAGATGGGGTTTGGGATATTGACCGAGAGTGGCCCCTGTCATATGGTTAGAGGCTCGTGAGTCAATATACCAGAGGTGGTTCGGTGAAGGGCAATAGGTTGGTGACTTACCAGATAGGGCAATAGCAGAGAAGGCTGAAAAGATGACCGAGGACATTAGTTGTCGAGTCCGTTCTTCAGACATGATGCCGGAGGTGTCATTTTGGCCAGCTACAGAAGTAATAGAGGAGGAGGCATCTGAACCATTTACAACAGTCTGATAGGCCTTGTAGTTTCCTTTCTTCTGATTTGATCCACTACCTTTCTGAGGCCAGGTAGGACTTTCAGTAATAATATGGCTGACCTACTTGCAATATGTGCGTGTGTTCTTACAATGGGAGACAACGTGCCCATACTCCTTACATTCATAACACTGTACCTTAGAGAAGTCCTTCCCCGTTGGTTTAGTTGCCAGGAAGACAACATCAATGTTGGAATCATTCCTTCCATCCAGTGTAGTCTGTATAGTCAATTTGGTGTCCGCTTTCAAAATCTCTCCAAGGATAGTATCTAAGTTAGGAATTGTTCATCGACTCAGGATATTAGATCTGACAACTTCAAACTTAGGCCTTAGATGCATTAGGAAATGCATAATTTTCCTCTTGTCAAAGTGTTCCTTCATGTACTTCACACAACAGTCTAAAGGATCCTTTCCCATGTGAACTAACTCATGTTCTGTTCAAAGGTTGATGAATCCGACATAATATTCCTAGACCTTTCTATCTCCCTGATAGTATGCGAAGATGTCAACCTCTATCTGATACTATCTAGATGTGTTCGATTACTGATAAACTTTCTCGAGATACTGGTACATCTCATAGTGTTCTGTACCCTCTCATTGGGATAACAATATCAGTTTCGACTGAACCTAGAATCCATGACGCAATTTTTGCGTTGTCAATCTTCCACTGATTAAGTCCCTTAATGTCAGAGTCATCAGGTTATATAGAGCCATCCAGATATCCCCAAAGACCCTTAGCTTCGACATGGAACTGAAAGTTAAACTTCCATAATGCGTAGTTCGTACCATTGAACTTAATAGGAAGAACCTCCATCCTTTTTGATGCCATTGGGAGACAAAAGGCAACAACACACACTTCCAGAGAACAATAAGATTCGAACCAGAGGAAAAAAAAGAGAATACCTTTCAGCTGATGCCCAAAAAAGGCAATTGTAATGTTCTGCCGAAGTGAAGAGTGGATCGAAACCCCTCAAAATCAAAACCGATCCAAACCAAACCAAAGGGATTCAGTAGATCTGTTGTGGGCGACACCAGATCTAAGATTTCAGGCTGATCCGATGTCTCTACAAGGAGAGCTAAGAAGAAAGGTGAATCCGATGGTGCAGCAGTCCAGGAAAAAGATCTGTAAAGTTCAGATCTGTAGCCGATCTAGGAAGAAGATTAAAGGACACTCAAGAACTTCTCAAATACTGTTAGAGAGTTCTTGAACCAGTAGTAACCGAGATGTTCAATGAGATGTTATGTGTAGATCAGGTCGTAACCTGCTCTGATACCATGTCAAAGTCAAGTCAAAAGTTCAAAAAGAGAGAAAGAAAGAGACAACAGATTTGGTGGGTGTGACACAATATGTCAGTCGACAACCTAAAAGATATATTTATATTAAAAAGGTAAAAGGACAAATCTGCCCTTAGTGTACAAAAGAAAGAGAGTACAAAGAATGGTTATACAACAAAGAAGAGTAAAAGTACAAAAAATGACCCTGTGGCTAGATCTTCTCAGTCTCTACACAAAGGATCCAAGTTCTGTTTTGTGGACATTCAAGGATGAAATTAAGAGGTTTAAATGGTTAACCAGCAGCATGATTTTGAGGATTCAATGGGTTAGAACTTAGAAGACTGGCTAATGGGGTAGTTGTTTTTCTTTCTTTTTTTTTTTTTTTTTAAATTTTGGTATTAGTCAATGCTTGCATCCCCCATAGGGGCTGTTACTACTACACCAATTGGTATTTACACAACTTTCGTTTTTTTCAAAGTCGATGGTAGTAGGATTTGAATCTGCATCTTTACTGGGACAAACTAGCCAGCGTACCAGCTAAGCCACCGCTTAGTTGGCTAATGGGTTAGTTGATTCCTTAATCTAGCAAGGGGTTAATATGGATCATTTGTATAGGGCTCATTTGGTGAGGCGTTCCACTACCTAGAGGCGTGAGGTGTAGTTCAGAATGCAAGAGGCATTAGCCTTCCGAACACAAGGAGGCTTACGCCTCCTTAAGAGGAGGGGGGTTAGGAGGAGGATGAAGAGGAAGGGGGGATCTCATTTTTCCTTTATTTTTAATAAAAATCTTTTATATTAAGAAGAATAAAGATGCATAACATTAGTTGAAAGCGGGGTCTTCCCTTCCATTTTCTTTTCTTTCCTTTTCTCTTTTTTTTCTTCTCTTCCTTTTTCTTTCCCTTCCCTTTCTTTCCCTTTTCTTTTCTTTCCTTTCCTTTTTTCTTCTTTGATCTTTTTTTTGTCTTTTTATATAAGATGTTCATGAGGTCCGTGAGGCGTACGCCTCTAGCACGCCTCATGAAAAAAGCACAAGAGGCGTAAGCCTCTAGCATGCCTCATGAAAAAAATGTAGGAGGCGTACGCCTCAGAGGTGTCAGTGCCTCTGGCATACGCCTCAAGGCATTTTGGGAGTGCCTCGTCTGGAGGCGTGCCACCTCCCACGCCTTTTAAAACACTGATATATATATATATATATATTGATATTTTTCAAATAAAAGTTAAAAGTTACTTATCAAAAAAAATCTACAATTTGTAGCCTTTTCAAATGTAAATTTAATGAAGAAATTTCTGTACAGTGATGGATGTGATTACCAAAATTTGACACAAGTACTAGGTGTTGGACTGATGACCTGAAAGAATTGGATTAAGAGTTTACTATTTGTTTTAATTTTTTAGTCCCATGATATGTTTTTTATTTTATACAGGTAATTCATTAATTGAAGAAAAAGAGAACAAATTGAATAGAAGCATAAATCACTAAACAAGGAAAACAATTTATATATAACTGAGGAACTTCTGATAAGATTTTGTATTCTAGGGTTGTTTGAATCTTGAATTACAGGTATGTCATTTTTAAAATTTGTTTTGGTAGGTATTTTGAAAGGCACCTGTCAGGTGCAATCTAGCTCAATGAGAGTTATTTTGTGAGGTCTCTTTCCTGAACCCAGGTCACCTGGCTTGTTATTTTTGATGAATTAATCTGGAATTTGGTCTGGAATAAGTAGATATGTAGCCTAGTATTCCCCCTGCCCTTGTAATGACAAAAGAAGATGCTTAGATAGCTTGGAAGTCCCTTTTTTGATTTCCAATGTCATGAAAACTAAATATTTTTGCTGTATGTGTTTTTCATCCTTATTTTGTTTGGTCTATGCAGGAGTATATCCAGCAATTCATCCTTTGCTTGGACTACAATACTATACTTGTGGGAAACTTGAATGGTTAAGACCTCTTCACATAAAGCTTGTTTTTTTTTATTATTATTATTTATTTATTTTTTTTTCATTTTTCACTTTTGCATCTTTGTTGATTCAACTAATAACAGCTTTGCATCTATACAAAATTCACTAACTAGATTCATTAAAGTGGATGGCAGTACCTATATTACTTGGTTTAGTGTGAACCTTATTCCAATTCATGCAATTATATACCTATCTGGGTGCTCATGAAGGTTGAAGTGGGATGAACTGCATACTCGATATGTTATAGTTAAAATTGATTTTCTTGGTACCTATATGGAAACAGACAATTGACTTTCTTGGTACTAGTTAAATTTGCCAAAGGGCACTGATGATGCAAATTGAAGAGTGCACTCAGTATTTAGTGTGACAATGTATCTCTGAACTGAAAAGCTATACTATGATTTATCATTTGATGAGGTTCATGAGACAAATTTAGGCCATCTCAATTGATGTTGATACAAGGTGTTCATAGTTTTGAATATACCTTTGTAGGAATCAAATGTTTACTTGTTAGGCCCTTTGCTGCAGTCGATTCTTTTATATTCATTTCCTTTTCTCCTTCTGTACCTTCAAATACAACATTGATGTTTCATAGTTTCTACAGGTTACTTGAGGAAACAGAAAATGCCATCGAGTCACTTACCAAGGCTATAGATATATTGCGAATTACTCATGGGACAAATACACCATTCATAAAGGAGCTGCTTCTCAAGCTGGAGGAGGCACGTGCAGAAGCTGCTTACAAAACCAGGTAGGATGATAACCAAGGCTGTAAAATTTATTGTGAATAGTTCATGGGACAAATACAATTTTCATGAGAGAGCTCCTAGTCAAGATGGAAGAAGCAAGTGCGAAAGCTGCTTACAAAATGAGGTAGGACAAGCCTTATATATTTGCCTCAAACTTTTTAATTGAACTCAAACCAGTGAGGTTCTGAGACATGTATACAGCAGTAAGCTATGAACTTTGTTCATCATATCAAGGCATGTATCCATTAAATGACATGGGCAAAGTTTGTCTAATCAACGATAGGTTCTTTGTATAAGTGGGCGCTTTTTAATTGTTGAATTGGCGCAAGAGTCTATGCTATCCTGATAAGACAATGATACAGCATACATATGGAACTTGAAATTGAAGTGTACAACATGGGCCGGGACTTGGCTTTCCGTTTGCTTTTCGGAAAGTTACTTATTCTATTTCTCAGGTGAATAAAACAATCATCATTTTAGTCATAAAAACAATTATTAAAAGGGACAATTTTGTCCTATCCAAGTGTTGGCTATTTTTTGCCTATGTGGGAAAATTACTTACCCACCTAAGAGATACTAAGGGAAAATAAATTTTTCATAGACATCACATAAATCTGAAAAAAGAACATGAGTATCTTAGTCAATGGGAACCAAAATCCCATTAACCGACTTTCTCTCAAAAATCCAAAAACCAAAAGAATATAAATACAAATATGTACAGGGAAAATATATACAAAATACAAGGTTTTTGTACTCTAGGTGTTTGTATACAAAGTATATACAAAATGCGGAAAACGTATGGTATGGGAGGAGTTTTGACCAATCAAAACCCACCCATAATTTTGATAAATAACACCTAATTGGCTACCATGTTTATGATTCCAGTTGACTGGTCAGAAGTTTTTAAGATATCATATCTTTTCCATACCATAGTCAAATCCATATATAATACATATATATAGATTATTTTTTTATTTATAAATATATTTTTATAAATTTGTTATATTATTTATTTATTTTTATAAAAAACATGTATATATGATGAAAATAATAAAAAATAATTGTATTTTTTTGTTTTTACTTTATTTAAATTAGTACATTTTATTTTTCTTTTAATAATTTATTAATTTTTAAAGAAAATAAGTCAGATTGGATTAGATCCGATGACTTATTGATAGGATTCAAATTCAAATCGAGTCCTATATGATTTGATCGGATCTTTGGATCAGATTGGATCTTACATGAATAGTGTTGAATCAAATTCGAATATACCCTGATTCGAATCCAATATGATTCGTTTGCATCCCTACCCCTTGGAGGATATGCATCCAACCAAAGGTATTTTTTATTATAAATTTAAGATCTAGGTTAGGGTTTAAGGATTTAGAATTTAGATTTTAGGGTTTGGTTTAAGCCTTTAAGGTTTGAAGGTTTTGGAATTTAGGCTTGATTTAAGGGTTGATTATAGGATTTAAGGTTTGATGTTAGGGTTTTTAGGGTTTAAGGGTTTAGAGGTTAAATTGGGCCAAGTATTGCCCGGTCCAAGTTTACGATTGGGCTTTTTTAAGATTCGGACCGGAGTAAAAAGCAGAATGCTCTCTGGGTCCTAGTTTACCGGTTAATCGGGCAGTTTGCCCATCCAATCCGGAAAAACCGTAATATAACCGGGATCCAAGAAGGCCACCGTTCTCGATTTTCACTGTTCCACCGTCCGGTAGCTGGATTAAGAAGGGACGACCACTTAACGGTGGCCTCACCGTTAGTTTTTCCCTATCTCAAGAGATTTTCTTCTATAGAATACAAATCTACACCAAAGCAACTCGTTAGGTGATTTCCCAGCTCTCAAAAGTTGAAACAGAACGATTCTTATCTACACGTTCATTGGTTTAATATACTTTAATAGTAACGCCGGGTTTGATTCTTTTTTCTCTTGTTTTATTTATTTTCTCGATTTCTTTTTGAGTAGTACGCTTCATTCAATCCCTGTATATAAGAATATCGATTGGTTATTCATCTAACCAGTACTTGTTTTTTTCTAGATCTGCCAAATCATGGGATTGACTAGTATTGATCTCTTCTCCCCATCAGACGTTGTTGAGAAAAGGGATACTTGCAGAGTTTGTTTGTGCATTCGCTCCCTCTCAAAGAAAGCAAGGTATAAGCATTTAAATGTAAGAACAGTTACATGAGATTTCTATTTTCAATGTAAGAAAAGTTGCATAAAAATTCTATTTTCAAGTATTTTCTTTATGCACCCATAGATTTTTCATTCATTGTAATTCTACTAGGACTGACAGGTTCCGCATTTTGATGTCATTAGTGATGCCTACTGATATGGTTGGATTAATCCGCAGAAGCATGGAGCAATCACAGTGTAGCTCTTCAAGTTCTGCTAGTTGCAGTCAATCCATGGAATCAAGAGTAAATCACAGGTAGGAAAGCACTGAGCCACACTATTGTAATCAGATTAAATTAAGAAAAAGGACTCATCTTTCCAGACAGGATCATTTTCTACGATCAGCTGCATCTCCAATCTATATTTAAAGGAGTAATACCATTTTTATTTCAATATTCTTGTTCCGTTTATAATTCTTCATGTATTCACTATAGAAAAATTGGGGGTGCGGACTACACCAGACAATCTGATTCATATTCTAAAGCATCTGATGATGGAGAAAGCAATTTAATTAGGGAAATTGATTTTCATAGCCCAAACTCAAAAACTTCATGTGATAATATGTCTCGATTTTGATTTCAATTGTAGAGAATTCCACGGGAGGAAATTCAGTGATTGTAGAGAACTTTATCTCTTCAAACATATTTCATTCAGATATTTGGGATCAACAGACAGAAGGGAACAGACTTGATCATTATAGACAACTCAGTTTAGTAGAATAAATGGTTTCCCCTAAAACAGATCACCAGATAAATGATAACCATCAATTAGATGCTGCTCAGCTATATATTATGTTATCCCCCTCATGCACCAAGTCTCAAATTGAATGAAATGTACTACTAAAATATCTAGAAAATAAATAAAACAAGAGAAAAAAAAACATCAAACTTAGCGTACTAAAGTAGATTAAACCAGTGGACGTGTAGATGAAGAATCGTTCTGTTTGAACTTTTGAGAGTTGAGAAATCACCAAAAGAGTTGCTTTGGTGTAGGACTTTGCTTGGAAATGGGAAATCATCAAATGAAGTTCTATTCTGTCAGTGGTCCTCCCTTCTTAATCCTAATTGGCTTATTAATTGACTTTGACCAATAAAAAATCGTGGGAGGACGAATTCATCCTTTTTGGAATTCGCCAAGAAAAATCCCCGGTGGCTACTCTTATTTGTCGTCCTCCCCTTTCAGACGAGAGACATCTCTCGTGCTTCTGTAAAAATGGAGGAGTTTCTGGCAACTCCTAGCAAGAGCAGAGGACGGAAGAAGAGTTTGAATGAAGAAGAAGAAGAAGACAGGCTAAGCAGTTTGCCACAAACGGTCCTTGCTCACATCCCCTCTTTTTTGCCAACCAAGAACTCTGTACACACCATGCTTCTGCGCAGTTTTGGACGTCTCTGGACTACYRTTCCCAACATCGACTTCGACTACAGACACTTCAATATAGAAGTCAGTCCCCATGTCTTCAAAYTCTGTCCAGTTTCGTTCATTGGTTTCATCAACAACTCATATTTCCGTCAACATTCATCTACTATCAACAAATACTAAGAAAACACCTGAGTTTGTGCCCAAAAATGAAGGAGTTGGAGGAAAATTAGATGGTTCTGATTGTCAAGTCAGTCTATGGATTCGTTTCGCGCTAGATAGGAAAGTGAAGGTGCTTGATCTGGAATTCCTGGAGAAACCTATCTACAAGTTGCCTTATCGTATTTTTATCACTGATTCGTTGATGGAGCTGAGGCTGACAGGTTGTATTGTTGAAGAATTACCGGGACCCATTTGCCTAAGATCCCTCAAAAGTTTATATCTAGAGAATATTGAGTTAACTGAAGAGAAAATGACATGTATTTTATTGGGCTGTCCATTACTCGACGATTTGTTCCTTATATGGTGCTCCAATCGAAGTAAGATGAATGTTATTTCCTCGAGTGTTAAAAAAGTTGACTATGCATTTGTCATGATTTGTTGGGGCTAGGAATCGATTGCCCAAATGTCGTCTCGTTGCATCTATCTGTGCGTACTGAATGCATTGATCTCAAGAGTTCATCGTCTCTGCTCAATGCCACTCTTGACTTGGATTCTCTATATGATTTCAAGAGAAATTACGTGGTAGGCTCATTGAGAAGGCTTCTCGTGAATCTTCGCCAGTCTAATGTTTTAACGGTACACCATGAGTTTATCCAGGTACAATTTCCTTCCCTTTTCTAAAATTTCTGTCATGATTTCTTTTATTTTAGGATAACAAATTAATTAAGTTGTTCTTAATCAGTATCAAGTGAAAAACTCAGAATTTTCAACTGAATTTTGTCAGTTATGATAATGTTATGCATCCTCATTCTTCTTTTCCTCCTCCTCTCGAGGAGGCTCACGCCTCTTACTTCAGGCTTCCAGGTAGTGGAATGCCTTGCATTATGCTTCCTTGTTTTAAAAGACTGATTTCAATATGTAACTGGATATTAAGAAAACTATTGAGGCCAAATATAGAGCTAGAAACATGGGGTGGGATACTGGTGAAGTAAGGATTAATTATGGCTGCTCTATTTGTAGATCTATCAAGTAAACTTATTCAAAGTTCATCAAAGGGTTGCRYTTTAAGATAAGAGGTTGGAGTGAGAGTTCATCCTTGTAGGGAAACCCTTGGAYGACCAAGCCCTGTTCATGGACAACTTGCATGCTTTCTTTTGAAGTGGCAGCTGACAAAATCACAACAATTCAGCAGTACTATGCAATATATAGAAATGGAGTAGTGTGTACCCATCATTTGGTAGAAACAAAGTAGCAATAAGAAATGGAACAGAGTTGGTCTTGAATTCAAGTAGACTTAAATGGTTTGGTYACATACAAAGAAGACCACTTGTAGTTGCAGCACCCATAAGAAAAAGTGATCAGTTACAAATTGAAAGGGGTTAGAAGGACTAAGGGCAAACCAAAAAGGACATGGGTTGAAGTACTAAGAAATGATTTAAGCCCTCATAATGTAACAATGGATATGGCATTAAACAGAATAGAATGGTGAAATAGGATTCATGCAGCTGATTCCTTATAGTAGGGATAAGGCTCAGATGRTAATGRTGAGAATTGATCTTGAATTTCTTGCTAAAGCTTTGAAGCAATCACCCCTCCACTGAAGGCTTTGATATAGTATGGACATATGGACTCATCTGAGAAATTATAAGCCAGATCGTTTTTTCAAGAAAYTCAATATTAAACCTAAAGCTCAATTCCTAGCRATGTGGTGTCWGGTGTGGAAGTGATCCCCTCTGAGAATTCTTTCCTTTTGTGAACAGCCTCTAGCAAAGTGCATGACAAAGGATGCGCTTGCCTGTGGATAAAACCTGTGATCTATGTTCAGAAAGCCAAGTGTTCTTTGCGAGTAAGCTATGTGTTCTTTGTGAGCTTATTTTCTTGGGGTTTGGGGCATCTAATGGTGTTTGGCTTCTTCAGTTTTAGGGTTCTATATAGCTGCCAAATCAGAAAGGTAAGCAGAAAAAGGAGAAAAACACTTTGGAAGGCTATCTTGCAGTCATTTGGGCATTCTAGATATGGAGAAACAGCCATATGTTTAATATAATTTCCAGCCTAAAGAAGTGGTGATTCGGAGTGACCTGCATCCTCATCTCACGGGTAGAAATTGGGAAACTCCAGCCTCTCTCTACAAATTATGGATTTTATTTTTATGCAAAGTAACTAATCCTATACGTACTATAATGAATAAGCATGTAAAGAAATTAAGCATTTAAAATATGCTGGATTTAAGTAACAAACATCTTACCTTTTTGTTAGAGCACTGGAACATCCAGGATCCTTGAAACAAAAGAGGATACCGAGGGAGAGGCCTGAAGTATGGGGATCATTGCTGAAAGATGGTATTTTCTCATCCTGTGAAAAAARAATGAGATAAAGAGAGGAAAATGGGGTTACCATTAGGAGAGATTTTAACTATTTCTTGCTTTTCCCCATTTAGATGATTAGAATGGTATAATCATATGGAAAGTTAGTGGGTTTTGTTGTATATCTTCAACTTAAACTAGGCGTACAATGTTTATTTTCTTGGAATAAAGAAGTAAGTTACTAAGAAAACTGAGTTGTTTTTAGGAAGAGGGCCATCCAAAACTCTTCGGGGCTTGTTTAATTTTGGAATAGGATAAGGTTTAGCAATAGCATATCTAGATCTTATTGRCTGCATTTACCTTGTAGTTATCATACCAAAAAAAGCTTACTTTTTTAGTTCTAATAAAGTTCACATTTTATTGTAGRGTGTCTTAAAGTTTCTAATTAGAGGGGCATGTTAAAATTTCATAGATGTACTGGGGAATTCATTTTGAGTTTCCTAAACATTATGGGGTGCTGTTTTGTAGTGTACTTATGAAAATCCCTTCCCCCCAACTCTTGATCCAAAAATTGCCCCTGGTTCTTCATTTGAACATGACAACTATACAATATGATTCAGAATTTAAAGTTTCCTAAACATTATGRCAGTGCTGTTTTTTTAGTGTACTTCTGAAAATCCCTTACCCTCCAACACTAGATTCAAAAAATTGCCCCCCTGGTTCTTAGTCTGAACATGAACATACAACATGATTCAGAATTGAAAGTGAAATGAATGATGAAAACTAATTYAATGATAAACTTGSACATCTTTGGACCAAGTTTTTCAATATTCAYTGCATACAGATAACAATTCTCCTAGGGCCCCAAGTGAAAACTTTTGATTAGTCMCCTGCCTTCTACCATTCATGTTCCATGTTTACTACTACACTGTCCACTAAAGGTATAAAGCTTAGACAGCTAAAAGTAATGTGACAAACAGTCAAGAAAAGTTTACATGGACACGTGCTTTTTTCCTCCAACGCACACAGACATGAAGGTTATGGTTGCTTGATTAGAACGTTTTATGGACCATGTAATTTGATTCAAAGAATTGCTGAAGTTGATGAATTGCAAGATGTACATTACCAATTTAGAGAAATAAAATAAAATAAAAAACCCTGTTCACAATGTGCACAACACAATATTACATTTTTTTTATTTGCATGATACTTGAGAGATGGTTGTACATGATAACATTTTTTTTCTTTGCTTGTGGTAATTGCATAGGTGTTGGCAGAATGTGAATTGGTAAAACTTCCATGTCCATCGTCAAACTGGAAATATTTAGTACTTAAGATGGGGCTTACTAGATCAGAACTCCCAGGAATTGCATGGTTGTTGAGAAGCTCCCCTACTCTTGAGACACTTGAATTAAGTTTTGGCCATTAAAATGTGAGTTGATTAAAGTCATAGCATCCATTCTATTTTCCTGCATTAGATAACGTTTTCTTTTTCACCTTATGCCTAATTTCATTACGTTTAATAATAGTTTTTTTCTTTTGTTTTGTTTATAGTTTTCGAAGGTCTGTGCATAGGATCTCATTTTGGACCTTATTTTGAAGACTGGAAACGGGAGACGTTTTTCCCTGGTCTAGCATACCATCTTAAGATTGTTAATATAATTGGCTTTACGGGGAACTCCTATGAGGTAGAATTGGTGGAGTTCCTGCTTAAGAATGCATTAGTCTTGGAGAAGATTGTATTTTGCAGCCTAAAGGAACATCAGAGTGGTAAAATGTTTTCTGAGATGATTTTGAGTTTTCCAAGAGGCTCTGCAAGTGCAGCAATTGTATTCATTTGAGAAATATTATGATTAGTCGTTGTAATGAGATGCATGGTGTATTTAATTGGTAAATTCCTGCTTCTAGTTATTGCAGGTTTGGTTTTGCATTCCTGGTTATTAAGTGGTAATGTTATATCTACATCTATTCATCATTTTTCAACAAGACTGTTCAGAGCTGAGGTTGCATTTGGTTGCATTTGAAATGAAGAGAAGGAAATGATTTGCTTGTAAAATAATATTGTAGAGGAAAATGAAAGAAAAAGATGAGCTGAATTGAAGAGGTTAATGGTATATGACGAAGTAACTCAGCAAAGTGAAAAGAGGCCATAATTTATCTTTTCTAGTACAAAAATGAGTTTTAATTCTGAGAGTAATGCTAGGCTGACCACCAAGACCATTCTCTTAATATGAAGCCAGGTAGGGTTGCAAAGGGATTGAATCGAATTAGATAGGTATCCAAATTTGATTCATTTATATTCGAATTTAAATTGGACTGATGTCCATCACATTGAAACCGTGTATGGCTCCAACCTTAAGGATGTAGGAAATGGAATTTAAGAGTAACTTTTGCCTTTTTCCCTTAGAAATGATAAGAATGCTATTTTCCGAAAATTACAAGGCTAACACATATAAGACAAATTTATTCTCTTTACCTTATTATGTAATTGTCTCTATGATATTCGAAAATTATAGGAGTGCCATATATAATTATTTATGATTATGTCAACTTATAAAATAAAATGTCATTCCTCTTCTCTCTATCTAAAATTCTATTTATTCATTATTATTATTATTATTATTATTATTCAAGCATTTATTTATTTAATAAAAGTAAATAAATTATTTATAAATCATTAAAATAAAGGAAATTTGACATTGAGAGAAAGATTTTAGTAGACATTTTATTTATTTATTTAGAAATAATTTACTAACAAATTATTCTCTCCCCTTGAGCCCCAATATTTAGGGCTATCAACGGGTCAGATCGGGTTTGAGCCCAATATTTATGAGGGTGGCCAAAGTGTAAGTGGAATGGAGGGGGGGGGGGACCATTGCAGTTGAGAGTAGGGGACCAAGGCTCCCCTAGGTCCCCCTAGCTCCACCCCTAGGGTTGGGATTAAACCTATTTGTAGGTTATGCTAGACTTGGCCTTTATATCAATAGAACATATTTGGGTCCAAGTCTGAGCATGAACGAACCATTAGGCCTAAATCTTGAGCCCGAACCTAACTAGGAAATTGAGAAAAAAAGATTTGTATTCTTTATTTAACAACCATTGGGTGGGGAGTGGGCGAGGGGGAAGATATAGATGAAGAGTGGGGATTTGCTAGGCCATAGGGGNGGGGGGGCATGTCTCCTTGGAGTCCCCTTGCCTCTGCCCTTAGGGTTGGGATTAAACCTATTCACAGGCCATGCTGGGCTTTGCCTTTATGTCAATAAAACATATTTAGGCCCAAGCTTGAGCATGATTGGACCATCGGGTCTAGATCTTGAGCCTGAACCTGACCCCCATATAAAGCCCGAAGCCCAGCTAGGAAATTGGGAAAAAAGGATTTGTAATCTTTATTTAACAATAAAATTGATTTATTTATATTAAATTGACTTCAAAACTGAAAAAATTATTTATTTATTATTTTATTTTATTAAATATATTATTATCCATAATTTTCTACTTATTTTAAGGAAATCTTTTTTCTTGAAAACTTTTAATTAAAAAAAATTACCTTTTGAAAATTCATTTTTTCCTATACAAATCTACCTTTTCACAAGGGTTCCCTCCGCTATTAAATAATTTAAACTAAAATGATCAAAATATCATATATTATGAGAAAACGAAATAATGACTTTGATGTTATATTTTATGAACAAATAAGTTGAAAATTGCTTGAATGACACTTGAACATATGCAATTTAGTATAAACACAACATTCAAACCAACTTACTATAGATACAATATAAATCCTAACTATACATGAAAATATGTATTTAAATCTAATGCAATTGGATTATATTGGATCATAGGGGCGGGTTCATATTTTATCCAATTATAAACAGATTTAATTCAGATCACCATTAATGGGATAAAATTGAATTTGAATTTGGGCAATCAGATACAATTTGCAGCCCTAAAGCCAGGTGGAACTGGGAAGCTGGGGATCTCTTGGTCCATTGCGACCTGAGTGATTAGGGTTCAAACCTTAGGAACAGCCTCTCTGTATGTATAAGGGTAAGGCTATCTGTCCCTTCCCAGAGGCTGCATTAGTGGAAGTCTCGTGCATTGGGTTGCCCTTTTTAGAGTTACAACTTACAACTTCGTGAATAAATTTGGGTTGGGCTTGACTTGAGCCTGATTCCAGTCGAGCTCTAGGCTTCGTTTGGGTTGAAAACTTAGAATTGACATAAATTTGGGTTGGGATCTCGAGAAACTCGAGCCCAAATATTGCGTGACAGCCAAACCCAAGCCCGAAAGCCCCAATTAAGCCCATCTACTTGACAATGTAGATGATTAAACTATGGTCAATACTTATGAACAAATATGCTTAAACAACCACGCATGCATATTTTATACATATTAGTCTTCTGTTGTATTTCTAATTTGAAATGAAACCCAAAGGTAGAAGTACAAAACATGAATAAAAAACCTTTTAATAACAAGGCAGAAACGAAACATTTTTTTTTAAAGCCCGAAGGCATATTTCCACTCACCAATTAAATATAATTACATCGCATCAGAGATTACCGAAGCCAAGATGGTGGGTGCAGTAGAACAAGTAATTCATCGACGTTTGGTTGAGTGTGAATCGGTTGTGATCCAGGAGAGATGATTTCTCTTGCTCAAGGTTAATGTCAGGATGAAGTACTGACTTTGAAAGGGAAGTTTGCTAACCTTTACATTATGTTTGATTTGAAGGAAAGAGTAGGGAAATGCAGAGAAACCTATATAAGATTTGTAAAAATTTCCTTTCCTTTCCTTTCCTTTCCCTTCCCTATTTTTTCCTTTAAACCAAAGATAGCCTTAGTGATAGGTGTTGGTTTCTTGCTGAGCTTTCCATTCCTCGTTTGTTATTTCTTTTCTGACAGTTCTTTCTTAGCAGTGTTTATTTTTTTACTCGACTTCTAGTAGTTTAGATTTGTTAGGGTTACTTATATCTCTCAGGTGATTTGCAGGAACGGTGAGAGGTGCAATTTCATCATCTTCAGACTGGTCATTACTGACTTATATGGTGTGATCCATTTGCCGGTTTTGTGTTGCCTAATCTGGAGCTTGGGATTCCATGGGAGTAAAAGGTCAAAAAAGAAGATTAGAAAAAATTATTGAGGCTCAAAACAGTGCCTTAAACTCAAATGGCAAGTTACGATCAATTGAAAAAAAGATGTTGGATAGAGTGAATACGATCCAAAGTGATTTCCTGAAGGAAAAAAGTAAGAACAGGCTTTGGCATCCCGAAGCATCCCTTCGGATCTCAAAGTATCAAAATGAAATTTATATAACAAGGCAAGGTCCCGGAAATTTTCAAAAAATTCCTAAGGAAAAAATCCGACACAGTGATGGGATATAGTTGAAGAAATAAGAGAGAACTAGACTGATATGAATGGTTCAATGATGACTTGATCGAACCTTGATCTATTTATACATGACCAGATAAAGATCGAGTACAAAACAACTGTTAGAGTTTGAGTTTGTGTACAACACTCAAGGTTAAGAGATCAGTTTAAGTTACATCAAAACTCTATCGAATAGAGTCTATCAAGATAAGGAAACTATTAGATCATGATAAAGTTCATTGCATACAGGGATCATGGGTGGATTTTATTATGTAGTCTATCAAGATAAGGAAACTATTGACAGGTTTGGTGAAGATATCTGTCATCTGATCCTGTGAAGAGATAAAACGCACCTCTAGAGACTTATTTAGTACCATGTCTCAAAGAAAGTGATAGTCAACCTCAACGTGTTGAGTTCGACCATTGAAAACTGGATTGGATGCAAGATGTGTTGCTCCAAAATTATAACACCAAATAATTGGATAGTGACGGAGTGGAACACGGAGATCTCTTAGCAGAGATTGTAACCATAGAACTTCTATGGCAGTGTTCGCACAAGATCTGAGTTTAGACTTTGTACTGGAACGGGCGACTGTATTCTGTTTTTTAGAACTCCATGCCACCAAATTGTTTCCCAAATAGATAGCAAAACCTTAAGTGGACCATCTATCATCCGGACATCCTGCCCAATCGGCGTCAGAGAAGGCCTGAAGGGACAAGGGAGCAGAGGAGGAGTCGAAGAATAGCCCATGATCAATTGTACCTTTGAGGTACCATAGTATTCGTCTTACAGCTGCCCAGTGATTTGAGGTTGGAGAGTAGAGAAATTGGTAGACCTTGTTTACGCTGTAAGCAATATCTGGTCTTGTGAATGTTAAGTACTGTAAGGCTCCAATGGTACTACGGTACTCACTAGGGTCGGATAGAGAAGACCCATCGAATTTGGTCAATTTGCAAGATCCGACCATAGGTATGGATAATGGTTTAGCTAGATCCATATGACTCTGCTTGAGAAGATTTGCAGTGTACTGCTGTTGAGAGAGAACTAGGCCAGAGGAACGTGGGTGAACTCCATGCCTAAGAAGTACCATGTTGGACCTAGATCCTTGAGAGAGAACGTGATAGCCAGAGAAGAGATAACCCATGAGATGGTAGCAGAAGTGGACCCGATTAGGAGAATGTCATCAACATAAATCAACATATAAATGGAGGTAGTGCCTTGTGAAAGACAACAAGTGACGGATCTGATTTAGAAATATGAAAGCCCATACTCAAAAGGTGAGAGGTCAGCCGAGAGTACCAAGCCTTGGTGCCTGTCGAAGACCATATAGGGCCTTTTGCAGCTTACACACATGTATAGGAAAGCACGGGTCTTCAAACCCTTTGGGTTGATGGACGTAGATGTCCTCTTGAATGTCTCCATTAAGAAATGCATTGTCAAAGTTGAGCTGATGGATTGGCCATTTACGGGACATGTCAATGACAATAACAGTTTGGATGGTTGTTGGTTTGACAACCGGGTTGAATGTATCAATAAAATCTACTCCTGGAATCTAAGAAAAACCCTGAGCAACAAGTCGAGCTTTGAACCGTTCTACAGACCCGTCAGCGCACCTCTTCACTTTGTAAACCCACTTTGTGCTGATGACGTTCATACCATCTTTATAAGGAATGAGAGACCAGGTGCGGTTTTGTAAGAGAGCATTCCTTAGTCATCGCTTCTTGCCACTGGACATTAGTAGAAGCCTTGGAGTAAGAAATAGGAGTGGCATCATGTAGCTGGGATAGTAGTGCAATGGGTAATGGATACTTAATTGCAGTATGAGCTCGAGGTGGGAGAGTACCATCCATTGATCTAGTAGTCATATGATGTTAACGAGAGCTAGATGGTGGTGGCATAGGTTGAGTTGTGTTCAACAAATCTGTAATAGTTTGAGTGCCATGGGGAGGTATTGAGGTAGCAGAATGGGCAGTGTCTGAGTTGTCATAAATGGAAATAGCTTAATCAGAAGGAGTGCGATGACCCAGTGGCAGGGGAGATGTCTCACTGGTGGCGGGAGCCATTGTATGGTGGTCAGATCTGATTATGTTTGATGGTAGGTAGAGAGCAAGAATGTAAACCCCATGTGAAGGAGTAAATGATTGAGATGAGCCAGCAGATAGCCCGGGAAAGAGGCTCTCATAAAAAGATGACATGGCGGCATATGTATTCTCGTCTAGATTCAGGATGCAAGCAACAATAGCCTTTGTGAATGGCACTGTACCCTATGAAAATACATTGAAGAGATCTGAAGTTGAACTTATGCTTATTATAAGGATGCAAAAAAGGATAACATGCACATCCAAAAGTCTTCAACATGTTGTAATTTGGAGCAGTATTGAATAGCTTCTTAAACAGGTTGGCATGACCAAGAGATGGACTTGGTATACGATTCAACAGGTAGACAGTTGTCTCAGCCGCATCATACCAATAAGTGAAGGGGAGAGATGAGGTTCCCAATAAAGACATGGTAGATTCGATGATGTGGCAATGTTTTCTTTCAACTGTCATTTTGCTCATGAGTGTGAGGGCAAGGTCGATGATGGGTAATGCCATGACTTTCCAAAAAGGCAGAAAGTTTCCTATATTCTCTACCCTAATCAAATTGGAAACATTTTATTTTGGCATCAAACAACAAGTCAACATGACGTTTAAAAGTAAGAAAAAGATCAAATACATTAGACTTATTTTTCATAGGGAAAATCCAAGTAAAACGACTAAAGTCGTCAAGAAACATGACATAGTATTTAAGTCCTTTATTTGAAGTAACTAGGACTGGTCCCCAAACATCTGAGTACACCAACTCCAAGGGACACTCATTGATCGAAGAACTAGAAGACAAATGCAACCTATGACTCTTACCCATCTGACATGCTGAACAAACTCTACTAAGTGACTAATTAGAGTATGATAAACCATATTTAGACAAAACTTGCCTCACAACTCGCAAAGCAGGGTGTCCAAGCTGCTGATGCCCTTCTTGAGCAAAAGCTCGAACTCCAACCATTGCTTGAGGAGACTTATTGTTGTTGTTAACACTACCCGGAAAAAGATATAATCCATCTCTACTGGGTCCTCATAGAATTGTTCTCCCCGTATAGTCCTTCAAGATAAAGCAATCTCAATGAAACTCAAAAAATAATTCATTGTCCTTTGTGATTTTTCTAACTGACAGTAAATTTTTGCATAAGTGAGGAATATGAAACAAGTCATTTAGCTTAAAGGCACCATTAGAGGAGGATAAAATAGAAGAACCAATATTTGAAATCTGCAAACCTGAGCCATTACCCACTTTCACTTGATCACTGCCCTTGATAGTCAGAATGCGATTGCAGGTTTTCAATGTCTGGAGTCATATGATGAGTAGCGCCAGAGTCTGGATACCATGTGGGATCAAAAGAAGACGAAGTACCAGTGTTGTAGGCATCCAGATCGTACTCGTCGTTGTGAAAATTGAGATCATAGTGTCTCCTGCATTTTTGTGCTCCATGATCGGGTTTATTGCACAATTGACATACAATACTGAAACCACCACGTCCTCGGCCATTGGAATTATTAGGTCGATCATCATTGTTGTGTCCACGACCCCTTCCTTGTCCATGGGTGTTGGACTAAGAGGGGTACTGTTGATGTCCTTAGGACCTTAGGAAGGAGCTGAATATTTCCCTTTGACATTGGCAATTTTAGCAGTTGGAGAGGGGTCATTGGAGGGAGGGGCGTGTTCCTCTAGCCATGCTTCATGACATAAAAGAATTTCAAGAACATCATCAATATCAAGTTCATCAATATCAGGTCAGTTGGTGATCGTTGTCACCCCAGATTCAAATTCCGAACCAAGACCGGTAAGAACATAAATAATTAAATCCATATTTGAAATTGGGTTAGCTACAACAGCAAGATTATCAACAATTGTCTGAGCTTTATGAACATAATCAGATATACTAAGATTTCCCTTCTTCAAACTTTGTACAGTCTGCGGGATAAGAGAATGGATTCTCTTGTCTCCTATTCGAAGGATGGTAAGATGGATACTCGGGGAAACTTTGAGTGTAGCCAAGACATGATAAAGGATAAACGAGGGTGTAGCTAAGACAAAGCCATGGCAGAAAGAAGTGGATACTTGTTCTCATACCACCACGGCAGCTGACAAAGCCGGAACGAGCAAGGTGAGAAGATCCTTGGGCCTTGATTTCCAAAGATAAGCGGCTAGGTACCAGATCCGCAAAGGAAAAACTATTAGACAACACCCCAATATTGCTCATGCCATCAACTTGGATGAACTGAAAGAAAATTTCAAAGTTAACAAACATTGGTCGAGATGTCTGTTTGCTAAAGTTTTGGTAGAGGAGGAACCTCTGGCTGCCATCATTGAAAAAGCCAGGGAATGGAGGGTTGAAAACAAAACGGACATTCGAAAGATAGGTAAAAGTTATTCCTTAATTTCCTTTCCTCTCAAGAAGACTAAGAATGTCATCAAGAAGGGACCTTGGATGATAAATGGAAAGTATCTTGTCTTTGTCCCATGGTGACCTGGGTTTAACCCTTTGATAGAGAAGTTAGAAATGGTTGATTTGTGGGTTAGGCTTCCGGGGTTGCCTCTTGAATGCTGGAATAGAGATGACCTTGAAGGAGGTGGGTCCAGTTGTGAAACTGGATTGTGATACTGAGAAAATGAAAAGAACCATATACCCAAGGGTCTGCGTTAAAGTAGATCTTACGTCCCCCTTCATTCTCAAGATACCAGTCACCCAAGGAGGAATTCAAAGCCACATCAAAGTATTCTACAAAAATATTTTTGACCTCTGCATCAACTGTGAGGCCACAAATATTTTGAGTGTACCTAGTCTAGAAGGAATAGATGAGACGAAGGTTGGACTGTGGTCCAAAATAAAAGGAAACCCAGGTCCACCAAATCAAAGGATGACGTTTAGAGTGATAGAACAACAGACAGAAATATGGATAGAAAGTGGTTCACGATGAAAGACCAGTGGGCTCAAGCAAAAATCCTTAGAGTGGAACAGGCAAGGGAGGCATCAAAAACAAGATTCATAAACGCTAGCCATGTCAAAACAACATAGTTTAGACAAAATGGATTCAGAAATCAACTATGTCAAATTCAAGCGCCAATGATTTGACAGATTTGATTATGGATAATTTCAAAAAAAAAAAAAAAAAACACTAACTTGGTTTGTTCTCAGGATCTTGAAGGGGGCCGAAAGAATAATGGTGACCTTGTTAATATAGCTAACGAAGAAGGTGAGGAAAACACTGATGACAAGATCGACAATGATGAGGAGACGACAAATGGGTGGTTCAACCCAAACCAAGAGGAAGGAGAAGCCCTGTTAAACAATCAGTTAGCAGATGGCATGATGAATAGTAAGGAGTTAGATGAGGAAATTGCTAAGATTGAAAAGGACAACATGGGTCCTGATGATAACCCGGGTGGCCATGCAAATACTTAATTGGAATGTCAGGGGGTAGGAAGGACTACCCTCCAACGTCAAATTTCAGAGCTTAGTAGGTATCATAAGTTAGGGGTGTGTTTTCTTATGGAAACTCGAGTTCAGCCTAAAAGAGCAAGAAAGATAGTTAAACCCTTATGTTATGGATTCTGTGGGGTTCTCAGGAGGTCTATGGGTTTTATGGAATAGTGATGTTTGTAACCTTTCAAATTATAATGTCTTAACGAAAGATTAGTCCATGTTTGCATCAATCAGAACAATTCTAACGTTGATTGGTTTTGTACATTTATTTACGCTCCCCTTGAACAAAAAATCGTGTGGAACTGGGTCAAGGAAATTGCATATAATACAAATGGGCCCTGGCTCCTAATAGGAGACTTTAATAATTACCTTTCTAGAGAGGGTATAAAAGGCAAAAGGGAGGTCATAAACAGCTAAACAAGGAATTTCAATGAGTTCATTTCAGATTGTGGTATCTCGACTCTTGAAATGAAGTGAAATAGGTTTACTTGGAGGAATAAAAGTACTTGGGAAGAGCTGGACTGGGCAATTGTAAATGTAGAGTGGAGGGAGATTATTTGCAATT